TCAATTTTATTTATTTCTACTCCTGTCTTTATAATTTTGTCCTCAGTTCCAGTTCTCCTAGTTTCTACTCTCATCATTATAATTTCTCTCCCTAGTTTCAATTCTGTCCTGTTGTTTTTTTCTGAAGTATTTTAAGATATCTCTTGTGGTTATTTATTTGGACTTGTTATGCTTTTAATGTAAGTATGCATTGCAATGCATTTTCCTCTTAGGACTGCTTTCAAAGTGTCCCAAAGTTTTCATTGAGTTGCATACTCATTATTATTAACTTCTAGAAATATTTTGACTTCTTTTTGATTTTTTTCTGTGACCCACTGGTTTTTTAAAATTATTTTGCTAATTTTCCAGGTTTTGCCTTTTTCAAATTTTATTCTGTCATCAATTTTTATTTTCATTGCACTGCTGTTGAATAGTATGCATCAGATAATTTCAATTCTTTTATATTTGCTTAAACATGCCTTGTGTAGTATTATGTTAATATGTTTTGGAAAAAGTGCCACATACTGCTGAAAATAATGTATACACTGTTGTAGAGGAGTGAGGTGCTTGTATATATCTATTTTTTTTGGTCTTTTTTTGTTTTTATCAGTACCAGGGATCAAACTCATGACCAAACACTTGGAAGGCAGGCACTTATGCCACTGAGCTAAATCCCCGGCCCCTGTATGTATCTATTAAGTCAACAAATTCAAGGGTGTGGGTCAGCTCTGAAATCTCTTTATTAGTATTTTGGTCTGTCATTTTGAGAAATTGCAGTGTTAAAATTCCTTACTCTAATTGTATTAATTTTTATTCTATCTTTTAATTCAGCAGCATTTGTTTTATTAAGGTAAGTGGTTCAGTGTTCAGTGCAAATTTGTCAATGTTCTCTCTTCCTGTTGGATTGTTTCTTTAACTTATATATAGAAATCATTTTTTGGTCTTTTCTGATACGTTTTCACTTAAAATTTATCATATCTGATACTGGAATTGTTAAACCTATTTGTTTTTGGTGTCCTGGTGCAAGAAATGTTGTTTTCCATTGTTTAATTTTAAGTCTATGTGTATTTTTATATGCAAAAAATGGATTCTATTTTTTCATCTAGTCTTCTAGTCTGTGTTGTTTGTGTGTTTTTTGTTTGTTTTTGTTTTTGAGATAAAGTTTCGCTTTTCAGTTCTTCTGGCTTCAAATTCACTTTCTGGCCTAGGCTGGCCTTGAACTCAGAGTAATCTTCCTGCCCTGATTTTGAGTGCTATCTTCAATCAAAGAGTTGAGGCCATTAACATTGATAGATGTTGCTGAGAAGTGTTAGTTATTTACTATCACTGTCTTTTTCACCTGTTGGTATATCATTTGTTTCATTTTTCCTGTGTTGTAGTTGTTTATTCTGCTGTTGGTTTTGTTTTTAGGTTGGCCAGTCCTATGTTTTTGCTGAGAATATTCTTGAGTACATGTTTGCATCACATAATGTTTACAATCTTTGTGTGGAGTTGGTACATGTAAGTAACACAGCACTGCTGATTCTAAAATCAGTAAGTGAGAAAAATATGCAATTTACTGTTTTTCATAATTTCCCAATTACAACTTCTAATACACTTTGTGTAGGATGTCTGTGGATTTCAAATTCATTTGAGATTATTTTAACCTGAAGAAATTCCTTAAATTTGTTTTAAGGCAGATCTGTGAACAAGTTATCTTGGCTTTTATTATCTGGGTAAATGCTTTTTTCATGTTTGGAAAAGATAGCCAAGCTGTAGATGGGATTACTGAATGACAGTTTTCTCTTTGAGCATTCTGAAAATATTATCCCCCTGACTTCCAGCCTCTTATAAATGTACTCATTTGGGTGTAGATTCTGGCCTGACAGGTTCTTTGCTTTAATAATATTATTTTATCACTTTAATCATTACTATGGTTAGGTGTAAGCCTGTTATCATGGTATTTGTCTTGCTTTTATGACATTTCTTTTTTGCTCCCTTGTCTCTTGTCTGCTCCTTTTCTGTTTTATTGAGATTGCATTCGGTATGTAACTTTATTTCCTAATTTGGATTTTAATTTAATAAAATAATTTTATATTATTCTGAATAATTTCCAAATTATTATGTCCATTCACTCATTACAGTTTACTTGAATTAAAGTTTTACTAATTTACATAGAGAATAACAAAGTTACAAGTAAATTTTCCCCATCCTTTTTCTACTGCATTAATCTATTGCACTTTTATGCATACTACATCAGTGCACAATTCAATTATTTTTCTTTAAACATTCTATAATTTATTAATAATTTTATCTAACCCTATATTTATCTGCCACAATCTGTTCTTCAGTGTTAATTTTCTATATTTACAATAAGTGAATATTTTATTTAATGAATTTTTAATGTTCATCTGGCATCAATAAAGAATTTTCTTCAGCATTCTCTTTACATTTATTTGATGAGGTTAGAATTCTCTCAGCTCTTATGGGAAAATATCTTTATTTTGCTTTCATTTTTTGTGATTATTTTTAAAATTTTTAATTTATAAGTATGTGATTCCTGTACATGAAGTTTGCACTCATCTGAGGAAATGGGTACATGTATTTAGTACATTCTGATCATTTTTCCTATTTTTCACACCCCCTCAGAGGGGAAGGAGAAGTTAAAAATGATTTTGTATGTGTTACATACATGTACCAAACACCTACAAGAATGGTAAATATTATAAGTAGTAAAATGAACTAAACATAATAATAACAGCAACAATAATGAAAATGGAGATGGGAAGAGGGGATTCCCTGAAGTATCACTCCAAGGGCAGAAATATTAGCTGTGGATGTTGTTTAGTGCTAAACTCCTTGTCTAGAATTCATGAGGCCCTTCAATTCAATGCCACAGAAACGAACAGAAAAATATTATTCCTTTGTTTTCTTTATTAATTTTGATGACATGGAAGACTTTATCCAATGATTCTCTGGAAATAATATATATTTCTGCTCTAAATATTTAAGATTTTGTATTTATCTTTCATTTTTAGCAGTTTTGCTACAATTTGTATTTATGCAACTTTAAAAATTCCAGTTGAGGTTTCCTATTTTTTTTGTATCTATGTTTAAGAACTTTCCTCTGTGTTTAAAAATTCTTCAGCATCATCATTTGAAACATGCTGCCTGCCTTGGTTACTTTCTAATTGCTGGGACCAAAACCTGACATCCACAAGTCAAAGAAGCACAGGTTTATTTCAGCTCACAGTTTGTAGAGGCTTCAGTCCATAGTCAGAGGCTCCAAGTCAGAGTGGCATCTCAGAGGTGCACAGCAAAGTAGAAACAGTCCATGACAGGGTAGGCAGGAAGCAGTCAGCACCAAGCAGCGGACTCCCTTTTTATTTCTCTGTTATCACATCCAGGCCACAGGCCTTTGGGATGGTACCACATCCAGTAAGCGGTTCTCGTTGAAGCATAGTTGGGGACTATTCCAGATGTCACACATCCTTAATCCCTGGATCTAGCTGGCTCTGAAAACCTCCACCTTTGTAAGCACATGAGGCTTATTAACATATATCATAACATTAACACACATTAAACAACATATATTATGCTTTTGACATTATTTCTCAAGATGATGACATGCAATTCTGTATTTGATTATTGGAATTACTCATTTGGATAATCTCTTTCTTCTCCCTTCCATCCTACTCCTTCTATTTCTTGGTCCCTGTCTCATTTACAAAAGACCTGTCTCTCTACTTCATATTGTCTGTCCTTTATTTCATAACTTATGTGTATATAATTTTTCAGGTAAGGAAGACCATGTAATGTTCATGCTTATGTGCCTGACTTACTTCACTTAACATTATAGTCTCAAACTGCACCCACTTTCCTTCAAATTAATTGAGTTTATCCTTTTTATGGCAGAGTAATACTCTAATACTACATTTTCTGTAGCCATTTACCTGTTGATGAACATATAAAATTACTATCAAAATTAAGCTATGATGAATTGTGCTACTATAATAAACATAAGTATGCTTGTAACACTGTAATATAACATCATTAAACATTTTGGGAAAATATGTAGAGGGAAATAGCTGGGTTCAAAACTGATATGTAGGTTTAATACAATCACAATTGCAATCAAAGTACCAACACCATTCCTCAGAGAAAACCACCCTAAAATTCATATGGAACTAGAAGTGACCTAGAATAGTAAACTTAGGAAAATCACGAAGCATCAAATTCCTGGATTTCAAGTTATATATAAAAAGTTATAGCAATTAAAAACAGTGTGTGCTACTGGCACAAAAATGGACATGTGAGTCAGTGGAACAGAATAGAGGATGCAGAGAATCCCAGACATGTTCAGCCATCTGATTTTCAACAGAGGGTCTGAAACCATTGTGGAGGAAAGATAAGCTTTTTAGCAAATGGTGCTGGGAAAACTGGCTATGCACATGCAGCATATTAAAGCTAGACTCTGATTTATGATGAGGTACTGAATTTATTTCTAGAAAGTATTGTCTTCATCTAGTCCTAGTGGTGTTTAAACACTTCAACCAAAGCCAACAAGATACTTTGTAACCTGAAATTCCCCTAATAAAACTAGTGCTGTGTCCCATCAAGCTATAAAGTAGGAGATGTAAAGTCTCACTCCATAATCATATTGAAATGTTAGAAGACAGAGCTCATCAGATATTGAAGACAGAAATTAGATGAGCTAATTGTCTAGATGCTCATGGACCATATTGCTTTCACACCACTTTATCTTAAAATACACATCTAAAATCACATGGCTTGTGTCATCTTACAAGTTGAAAGAAAAAGGAAAAGCTGGAGCTATTTTATAAGTTGTTTTTCATGGTCTGCTCATTTTGATGGTACTTAGTACAGTGTATATTGCTGTGTTAAAATACATTCTTCAAATAAAAATGACAGATCTAAGCCATTCAAATCATTGTTTGATATCTCAAAATTTCAATAATTAAAGCATAAAAATTTCACATAAAGTTACATGGTAGTTAATAATATAGGATGTATCATATAATTTATGAGATTTTATAAATCACCAGTAACTTGCACACTCTTTTTATTGCTTCCTTCATCTCTTTATTCCTCAATGTGTAGATGACTGGATTCAGAAAAGGAGTGAAAACTGCATCAGAGAGAGGAAGAAACTTGTCCATTTGGGAATTGGGGTGTGGCCATGTGTAAACAAAAAGTGTTGGACCAAAGAAAAGAATGACCACAGTGATGTGAGCTGACATTGTGGACAGGGCCTTGGACAAACTGCCTGAGGAGCGTTTCCAGACAGTGAACAGGATGAAGACATATGAGATGAGAAGGACACAGAAGGAGCCAACACAGATAAACCCACTATTGGCAGTGACCATGAACTGCAATTTGTAAGTGTCGGTACAGGCCAGTCTGAAAAGCCGAGGCAGGTCACAGAAAAAACCATCCATCACGTTAGGACCACAGAAGGGTAAATTAATAAGAAAGGCCAGCTGGAACAGTGAGTGAATAATGCCAAGGCCCCAGGCAGCCACCAGAAACAAAATGCATATCCGTGGGTTCATGATGGTCAGGTAGTGCAGAGGCCTACAAATGGCCACATATCTGTCAAAGGCCATGGCCATGAGCAACACCATCTCCACACCACCAATCATGTGAATGAAGAAGATCTGAGTGATGCAGCCCCCAAAGGAGATGGTCTTGTGCTTTCTGAAAAGGTCATAGATCATCTTGGGGGAAGTGGCAGAGCAGGCTCCCAAGTCAATGAAGGAAAGGCATGCCAGCAGGAAGTACATGGGCGAGTGTAGGTGCGGGTCAGTGGTCACAGAAAACACAATGAGGATGTTTCCAGTCATGCTTGCCACATAGAGCACAGAGGTGAACACCAGGAGGAGGATCTGGATCTCCCAAGAGCGAGTGAGTCCCAGAAACACAATCTCAGACAGTACAGTGTGGTTTCCTCCATCCATTGATCTAGCCAATGGGTTGTAGCTAAATTAATTATAATTAATGTAATGAGGAAAAAATATGACTATGAGTGTGACAATGTACACTAAATTCATTGATGTTACAAAGTCCTCGTCATGAATCAGCAGTGTGCCGTTCTGCAGTTTCTCGACTTGCAGAAGTAACAAAATCAGATGTAATATCTTTGTAATATACAGTGGTATTGATTGCATCATGATTTAAGCCTATCATCAATAGTTTCAAAATTGTTGGTGACCGTGAATTGTAAATTGAATATAAGGGACATCCAAGCTTGTCCTTTTCCTTGCATTTGTGCCAGACTGAAATGGTGAAACTCCCTGCTCTTTTAAGGTCACAGCTGGGAGCCCTAGAGCTAATGACTACTGTGACTGTAACAGGGCAAGATAAATCTTTCAGAAGACAGTAAGGCACCTGGGGAAATTACTGTTTCCTTACTGCCCCACTTGCTCATCCTTGTCCTTACAAGAATGCTTTGTTTTTCTTAACCAACCCATCATACTCACCACTACTGGAAACACCCACAGCCCCTTGCTCATTGTCCTTGACTCAGATGCTAAGTGCTCCAAGGCCATTTTTCCCCTTGAATAACTGATCATCTCAGATAGCTGCTGCACCAGTATTTTGTCTCTTGCACTTTCTTTCTCACTGGTGTTCCATTACACTTGGCAAGAGACTGGGGGCTCAGTGCAGGGGTCCCCAAAAGTGACACAACTGAAAGGGTTTCAGGTAAAAATAACTTTCTGTTTTCAAATTATAAATTAAGAACAGTATAAAATAGTCATGACTATTCATGATATTCTCAGTTGTGTAAAACTACCTGTGATATTGACTATTTTACATTTCCAAGATATTTTATATACCATTCATGCATATTCTCATAATCCATTTCCTTCCTCAGTTTGTACTCATAAATTTCTAACACAAGTTAGGGATAAGAGAAAAAGATTATGATTACCAAAGTGTCATCACCTGGAATAAAAGGTGCTTAAGAAATGAACGGAGACTGAATGAGATAGGACATACACTGAGAATAAATAAACTGGAGTATGTAAAATTGGTTAGCTCTCAGCTGTAGTGCAACAAAGGAAGCAGATGGACTCTTATTTAATAAATCTTTGTTACATAGCAGATTTTCTGATGTTCACTGGTATCAACTGCTTTCAATTCTATGCAATAGTTCATAATTACAAAGCTATAAATAGTTTTATACACTATAATGATTTTGTAAAGAGCCTGTAACATCTGTCATATAAGGTTTTCTCTCAACCTAATAAATGTGCATGGGGTGATTTCACTAAAGTTCCTGCTAGGGCACATGTCTAAAATAGCTAATGAAGATACAAGATAACTTTGGAGCATCTCTCCATCATACACATAAACATATTGAGGACTAACATTTGAGATAGCCAATATATTCTGTGTTGATTTATCAGTGTCTCAGCTTTCACATGGTGCTAGTTTACATCCATTGATAGCCCCCCGCTGTAAGGATTCAGTGCTTCTGCATGATAAATTGTTCTGATACTTTATATTATCCTGCTTACCTTGACTAAAACGCATTCCAATAAAAGTTTTTTATCTTCAAGAAAAATGGGAATTTTATTCCTGTAATTCATATTTATAAAATTAGATGAATGCCAATTACTGCTTTCATTTTTTAGCACAGCAGTTTAAACATGGACTGAAAGTGAATAATCATAGAGTTGGTGTAGTATAGTCTACAACAAAGTACAAACTGTGGCACTGAAGATTCACAATGGTGATGCACAATGTATTTTTACACAAAGTAAAGGTTGATCAAAGACCAAAATTATGCTTCTGAATGTCCAGGTGGATACTCACCATAATCTGTTTTGCCTAGTGCAAAATTCTACCTGCACATCTTTAATAAAATTTAATTATTTTTGGTATCTTGCTATCCTGCATTTTAGCAACTTCAGCTCTAAAATTACCCATACAAAGGGACATCTGTCTCATGCCATCATTCATTCTAGACCCTGAAACTCACAGAAGAAACCACTGTGCTCTTACTCCAGTCCTTGATCACACCACTGGCCTCTGTCACACTCTATTCCCATGCACTCACTGACTGCACTGCTTCTTCCTAACAGCCCACATCACAAGGTGTGAGCTTTTAATAACCATAGATCTATGGCCAATTGTAGGGAAGAAACACAGCCACAGGCATGGTGAGTCTGCACAGGTTAGTGGGATGCAGGGGCATAAGGATGAATGAGGACTTGGAAAGGAAAGCAGCAGAATTCAGTCATCACTGAAAAATATCTGAAGCCTTGGTGATAGAAAAATTATGTCCCTATTGTGATGAAACAACAATGCACCTGGGATCTACAAAGACCATTTTCTCCATACTGATCATCATTCCGATGATGAACATGAGACCCAGCATAGCAAACTGTGTCCAAAGTTCATAACTGACAGGATATCAACCAGAGCCCAGGTCCTTGATTCTTATTCCAGAATGACAATAATCAAAAAGAATCAACAAAGTAAAACAAAGATCAATAATTAAATCATTAAAAAGGTATTTTTCCTGATTAAAACCAAAACTAAAAAGAAATGTTTATACAATATGTCCATTATTAATACTGTTACATAGCAATTTAATAACAACATAAAATATGTATCTACTTAGAGCTTAACCTGTACAATAGTAAATTATACTTTAGAAAGTGATCATTTATTACTACAATGATTTGTATACTCTATATTTTTATGTTTATGTAGGTAGTAACTATAATTTAAAATATTAAAATTTTATTTCTAAGAAGTTCATCTTTTGGGTCTTTAAAATTGTATAATCATGAAAAATCAAATAAAATCACAGTATTTTTACTTAATTTTATTAACTTCTTCATACTAATTTGTTCTTTCTCAAACTCTTATAAATCAAAGAAGCAAGAAAATCGATAAAAAGTCATGAATTGTACATATAAAAAGCCCAATGTAAAGTGGTATATGACATATGTGGAATGAACAGCAAGACCAATGAGAATTTAGTGGAGATGTGATGTAAGTGTTCAAGAGCAGGAAACAGGAGGATGGAGGGAACATGAGGGGCCACCACATTACTGGTGTTTTAGGAATTAATGAGTAAAGAGCAGAATAAACAGATAGAGAATGTTGCACTATAACTTAAATCACACAAGATGAAGAGAAATTTGAGTACTTACTGCCCTGTGTCTCTAATTCATATACTCAGTTACACAGAGAAAGTGGATAAGTCTTCACTGATCAGCTCAATCAATGACCCAGCTATGCAGAAAGGCCAGGAATTCAAGTAAAAAATCTTCAGCACTCTTGGTTCTTTTCTCTACATCATATTTTCAGCATGTTCCACATGCATAAGAGGAAACATCTCCTTTAAAAAATTATAGTAGCAAAATGTAGGAAAAATGTCTTCTTTTAAAACTTACACAAGCCTTGATTAATGATACACAAGTAAAAAGTTTACATTATGTTTTGGTTTTTGTTGGATATGAAGTAACATTTAAGTATTGTACCAGCATTTCATTTCACTCGTTTTCCTGAAATCAATAGAATAATCTGAGATACAGAAATACTGGAGCAGAGAAAAAAGGGGACTATTCCAAATATACAAACTATAATAAAGAGGGGGAAATTAGCATAAACTCTGCACAGTAGTAAAGAAAAATAAAAGTAAAAGTAAAGCCTAAAAGTAAAAAATGGAATTGAATCAGAGAGTATTAAGTTCAGTGTTCCTGGGAACATAGATTTTTGAAAGAGAATTTAAATAAGGTTAATGTTTCACTTTTAAATTACTGGTTCATAGTTGCTCCTGACTTTGACATTGATTTGCATTTAAGCAAAGAGAAAAAAGGCAAATCTTCTATACCTGACCCAAAAGACACAGGACTAGCAGGCAGAAAAATGATGGAATGTTAGAAACAGATACCTCAGATTTCTAAAGCCCCTGTCCACTCATGTGCACAGTTTGTGGGCCTGCTAAACCAAAGAAGCCAAACTGCAGAAGTCTGCGGACAGGAAAATAGACTTTGCTGCCAAACTGCCCTTTTATATGAAATGAAATTCTTTAGGTTTAGTCTCAAGCAAAATTTTACAAGTGGATAAAATGTAAGTAGTTATGCATAACAGAACATCAAATGACTGGTCAAGACCAAATTCTTAGTCACAGGTGTGTTTTTTCCAATTCTTTTTCTCTTATTTTGTTAAAGTGATTTTTTTAACATGCACCAGATATCAAGAAAGAACAATGCTGAGAAACTGAATCTGTATCTAGTAGCACATAAATATGTATCAGACATTGTGTGATGCAGGACATAAAGGTAAAACAAATCCTCTAAATTATTAGTAAACTATTACAGAAGTATGCTAGTAATAGAGATGTCTATAATGACAAAAGAAGACAGTAATGATATTTTATTTACAGACATAAAATGGTAAATATTACAATATGCAAATATAATATCCAGACATGGTAAATATTTATAAATCTAATGAATATAATTTATACTCCATTAATGGTAAAGTGTAGATTGTCTAAATTGTAGAAATACAAAGGAAAATGAGAAAAATACTTTATATTCAGTTTTGGTTAACATTAATAATTATCTAACACATTTAAGAACTATCAAACAAATCTAGCAAACCAATGAAATCTCAATGACTTTATAATGGAGCCAGGATTTGGGAAAATTCTCCATCTGTGTGAAGAGTGAAACAGAGGAATGAGATCACATAGTGAAAGAGTCCACCTAAAAAACATTGAACTTGAACAGAGTTGAGGAGCTATGCAGATTCATAAGGGACATAGTTTTAGCCACAAGACTCTAAATGCATAACACAGAAATGGAAGTAAAAATCCAGAGGAATCAGTGATTGGTTAAAGTTGGAGTGAACAGAAAGGACAGTGAAATCAAAGATGGTACTGAGACTGACCACGGATATGAAAATAAGGGGTCTGTTTTCAGAAATATGACAG